CCCACCCCCCGACGCGCCGTTGCGCGTGTCAACCGTAGTAGGGCGTGTACGGCCACTCTGTCGTGCCTGTGATCAACTTAGAGAAAACACCGCCCGCGTCAAACGCCATATCGCTGTGCCCCACCCCAAATGCCCACCTCCGGCTGATGGTTGCGCGCCACCTCCGCGCGACAAAACATGCTGCCCCCCCCCGCTCCAACGACGAGGCAGACCAGCCGGCCCGTCCGTCCGTGCTGGGTTGCGCGCCATCTCCGCGCGACTTCAAGTGCTACCCCCCCGGCTCCAAACGGCAAGGCAGGACAGCCACGGCCCCTCCGTCCGTGCTGTGGTTGAAAAATGCCGCCCGCTTCACGCGTGATGCGGCACCCACCCCCCGACGCGCCGTCGCGCGTGTCAACCGTGGTAGGGCGTGCACGGCCACTCTGCCGTGCCTGTGATCAACTTAGAGAAAACACCGCCCGCGTCAAGCGAGTGCGGCGCCCACCCCCCACACGCCGTCGCGCGGTCAATCCATGGAAGGGTGTCTCCGGCTATTCTGCCCAACGGTCACTCCACCGTCCCTGCTTTCCACCGCCTCCTATCCCGCAGATGGAGTGCGCACCGTCAATTGTGCGACTTTCATGGCCCCTCTGTCCATGCTGTGCTTGCGCGCCACCTCCGCGCGACTTCGTCCGGCCCCCCCACCGCAAATCAGCGGCGCTGAGGGCCTACGACCAACCTGCCGCACCGTATTAGCAACACCACCTGTCCACCCTAGAAACTTTCAGTTATCACTTCCTGCACCTTTGCTTCCTTCTCGTCTTCGGTCAGCTTCTCCCAACTAGGATCCATCTTGCACAGTTCCTCCGCGCGGTCGTACTGCTCTTCGAAACTCAACACCGCGAAGTTGGCATGCTCCACTACCGCCATGCACGCTTCCTCCGTGGGTGTCGCACACTTCTCGCTGTTGTGCCCAAAGCCCGAACACGTGTCGCACTGCTCCAGGAAGTCCTCCTCCTTCGTGGTGCAGTCGGGCTTCCTATGCCCGCGGTGGTTGCACCGGAAACACCTCCGGTGGTCGACCCGGTCGTCCGTCCCCGCCTTCTTCTTGCTGCCACGGCCGTTGCTCTTACTGCCGCGGCCGCCGCCAGCCTGCCGCCCCTTCCCGGTGCCGTTACCCGCTATGTACGCCTGCTCCCCCCCGGATCCTTTTTCTCCTTTCTTCCTCCATTCCTCGGTGAGAAGGTTAAATCGGGTTGAGAACTGTTGTACAAGGATATCCCTCGTCAGCGGTTTGACCACAGACAAGGTTTGCTTAGTGACTTCGTATTCGGGGTTGGGCAGCGAATCGACAAGTCGGGCGAACACGAACTGGTCGTTTACCGTGGCTCCGCCCCCTTGCCGCATCATCTTGGCCATACCCATGAGCATGTTCAAACTGGCGACGGGGTTCTCCTTCCGAGGAGTCTGGTACTGCTGGAACTCTCTGAAAAGCTGCTGCTATGCACCCTGTGTCTCCGGCAGGTATGCCGCATCTAGTTGCCGCAGGGCTTCCCGTGGGTTCGTGCAACGACTGAGGATGGCTTTGTTCGTCTCAGTAGTCAACGTGGCAGAGAGGAAATTCCACGCCAGATACGTCTNTACCCGCTATGTACGCCTGCTCCCCCCCGGATCCTTTTTCTCCTTTCTTCCTCCATTCCTCGGTGAGAAGGTTAAATCGGGTTGAGAACTGTTGTACAAGGATATCCCTCGTCAGCGGTTTGACCACAGACAAGGTTTGCTTAGTGACTTCGTATTCGGGGTTGGGCAGCGAATCGACAAGTCGGGCGAACACGAACTGGTCGTTTACCGTGGCTCCGCCCCCTTGCCGCATCATCTTGGCCATACCCATGAGCATGTTCAAACTGGCGACGGGGTTCTCCTTCCGAGGAGTCTGGCACTGCTGGAACTCTCTGAAAAGCTGCTGCTATGCACCCTGTGTCTCCGGCAGGTATGCCGCATCTAGTTGCCGCAGGGCTTCCCGTGGGTTCGTGCAACGACTGAGGATGGCTTTGTTCGTCTCAGTAGTCAACGTGGCAGAGAGGAAATTCCACGCCAGATACGTCTTGCGGATTGCTGCATACGAAAACCCCTGCTCGAGAAGGGCGGTCTGTGGCTTGTTGATGTCCGGCAGCACCCCGCCGCCGGAGAACACATCGCCTATGTCGAGAATGCCTGCCTGCACGATCATATCCTGCCTCCACCCCGGGTACTGCTCGGCCCCTTTCTTGAGCTGTGGTGGGTTTACGTGAGACGCGGCGAGTTTCGAAATTCCGCCGCCTCCCGTGAAAAGACCCTCACCAGCGACATCACCGCTGACGAAAACACCACCAACGCCACCGCCGGTTGCGGCTGCCTCACCTTGGGAGCCATATCCTCTGCCGTAGCCGCCTACACCCACTGTGCCCGTCGCGGCGGACCCCTGGCTGCTGTTCGGGGCGGCAGCGTCACCGCTGGCCCCTGTCGATGCCCCTACGTCACCGCCGGACTCCTCCTCCTGCGGAACACCTCCAACATCCAACGCTCCCCTCAACGATGGAAGCTGGCTCATCACCTGGCTCATCATGGCTTGCATCCTGCCTTCCATCGCTTCGCCTAACCGCTGTTCCATGCCAGTCAACCGAGCGTCCAGTTCAGCGTCGTTGACGCTGGCTGCTGGAACCCCGGCGTCACCCTGATTCAACGCCATGGTCCGCTCTGTCAAAGCAGATCTTCCCGGGAAGAAGCGCTAGCGTGTTCGTGAGCTCTGGCAACAGTACTTGCCGTGCGGACTTGGGGCTGCTGTTTAACTGGTTGAATTAGCACGCGATAGAGAAGGCACGAAGGGAGAGAGAGCGGAAGGAGAGAGTGCCCCGAACTCACGAGAAAAACGGGGGCTCCGCGCTCTCACCAAACTGTCTCGCCACATACCTCTCCAGGTATATCCTATCTGCGTCCTACGTAACGGCTACTTTTGGCTTGTCTACTCCTACGTACAAACAACGCATACCTGCCGTGGGCGGCTGCATTTACACATTAACTCTCACCGCCGAAGAAGGCGTTGACTGCCAGCGAAGGGCGGAGTAGCTCGACAAGCTTGTGGAAGCTGGCCTTCTCCATGCGGTACGACCGCCGCCAGCCTTGCCGTTTATCGAGGTCCGCCTCGTGTTGGGCCTACGGAAGCCGCTTGGGCTCGTAGATGGGCTCCCGTTCCTGAGGGCAGTGGGCACGATGAGCTTGTCCTGCTGCCACCACGCCCGCCGCCACTACTACGGCCTGCAGAAGACCCAGGACTGTGAGAGATCTCCTGTGTTCCTGGGCTGCACCGACCTCGTCGATAGCTCCTCGACGGCGCTTCTCCCGGCGTTGCGCTGCGGGCCCCTTGGGATGCTGGCGCTTCCGGCGTTCAGCCATGGTAGTGGAGTTGCCTCGGGAAGCGGTTTGGGGTGTTGGTGGTGCTGTCTAGGTGTGGTGTGATGAAGACAGCACGCGTGACCGGTGTCTACTCCGGTCGTCGAAAAAAGCGGGAAATTTTTCACCGAACAGATAAAAGGAGCAAGCCCAGAAAAAATACGCGTCGCTCTTTTCACGGAAACGTAGAGGAACGCCTCCATATATTTCAAGAAGGTACGGTTTCGTATCCGAATCCGTATTTTTTCGGCCTGATAATAATACCCCTATGAAAATGAAAGAACGAGTAAGGCGGACCGTCTGTTGTTGTTCTCTGTATCTTCAACCATGCTGCCGTTGCTTTTCTTCATGGATATCGATACAGAAAAAAAGTTAAGGGATGCTTATCTCCTAGGCGAGCACAGCGTACAGCCCAATCGACAGAGACGATGACCTTCCGACCTTTGCAGCATATTCCGAGCACAACAGCAGCAACCGCATGTGTAGCATACAACGGTCACTCAGCAAGGAAATCACAAACGAAAAAAAATAGGTTGTGGCGCGCGGCACGCAGGACCCTCGCTCGCTGTTCGACTGGCCGTTCCCATGGCGAAAAAGACAAGGAACAGTCAAGGCCGAGTCGTGTCGGCCACAGGAGGTGCAAGCTGCTCAAACTCGGGGAGGGGTTGCGGTTTGTGATTCCCTACCGAACCATACTCGAGGGGCCACGAGATTTGCACTGGAGCCCGAGATCAGCATTTGTTTATTTATTTGAGGCCCGGTCGGACCACGGGTGGGGGCTGCGATTGAAACTTCCACACACATGCTGTTAGGAGCGACGGCGGGGGGCGTGGGATACAGCGGCGAGCAGGAGTCCGACTGGGTGTCTCGTCTAGGAGAGGACCTTGTGGCCTTCAACATGGGAGACGAAAAGGAAGGGAGGAAATGGAACGAGGGCGCCAAGGACCCTCAGGTGTGGTACAACAAGGTCGAGGACGGGGCGACATGGTTCATGAGGAAATGGCACAGGCAGGAGGCGGAAGTGTCCGCGAAGCGCCAGCGTGCGAGGGAAGCAGAAGCAGAGAGTGAGGCCATCTCGGGACCGAAGAGAAAGAAGAGGGTTGGGGAAGCGGCGGTGGGGGGGAAGAAATGGCGACCAGGCACTGCTGCTGTAGAAACGAGTAGGGCGGCCGAGGCAGCACTTGTGGCGAACTTTTTTTTTCGGTAGTGTTATATACGACACCGGTGTCGTACTTCCTTATATACGACACCTACCATTTCTTGGCCCACAGGGCTCCAATCGGCGTACAACAAAATGCGCTGTGTAGCCGCGGCCCGCAGCTGTCAGCCCATACCATTTTGGGTCAAATCGGCCAAGTGGTTGAAGAAATATCTTAGAAAAAGGGGGCTCAGCAGCATCGCAGGGTTAGGTTCTACCACAAATACGACTGTAACTCCGCCCCCAGAGCTCCAATCGGCGTACAACAAAATGCGCTGTGTAGCCACGGCCCGCAGCTATCAGCCCATACCACTTTGGGTCAAATCGGCCAAGTGGTTGCGGAGAAAGAGCCGAAAATAGGGGGCTCCGCAACTTACCGGGGGGGTGTCAGCGACGTTCCGGTCATAACTCCTTGCACAGACATCGCCTGATCGCACGTAAACTCGCGATGAGTAGGTACAGGCCAGAGCTATCGTTCAAGCCGCTGTGGGGCGAAATCCACCCAGTCAGTGCCATGGTACGCCTACACCCGGC